CATGTCCGGTGATTACCGGTGGTCACCCTGTAAACCCGTAGACCTCAGCCTCACTGCGTTCTCGGTGCCTCCTGCACCTTGTCTTGCTCAGTGATGCCACTAGATGGCGTCTCGCTCACATACTGTGGCCTGATTTTGAGCGTGGCACTGATCTTCACGTGTTTGACTGTGGCTGTGGAGAAAAGGCTGGTTTTGCTTAGTCATCCATCTTCTTGGAACAGGTGTTGGCTTCATTAAGAATCCCCTGTAGCGCACTGCTCCTTCACATTCTCAATGAATCAGGGAACGAGTTCAGCTTCCTCCCACAGTTCCTGCTCCTCTCCCAGCAGCTCACTTTAAAAACATTTGGCTGTCATGTTGTTGGTGGCTCACTGCTTTTCTCAGAAACGGGTTTACAGCGTAGCTCCTCCCAGATGCCCGCTTCCTCCCTTTGTGTGATAAAGGCTCGCATTAGGCAGTATTTGCAAGGAAATCCTTGAATCTTTCCATTAAATCAAAAGTTATAACCTGATATTTGGCAGGTGCTTTGCATTTTCACGAGAAGCGACGCCTGCAGTATTTCTGATCAGCTGTGCTAATCACCGACTGAACTCTTCAATCTGCCAGTTTAGACCACTTAGGGTTCAACTTTCTGTTCACTGCAGCAGTTTACTTTGAAGCTCAGCGTTCACGCTTTTAACTCATGTGACGTCATCACAGAGAGTGTGTGTGTGTGCGTGTGTGTGTGTGTGAGGGCTCACACGTCTCACCATGATACAGAATAGGAAACTCGAGTGAAAACTGGTTTGGCCAGCTCGGGCACAAACGGCACATCAGATTATAAAGAATCGCATTAAAGACACAACGGTGCGTAAAAGAAGTCTAGATATATATTTGAATTAAAAAAGATATAGCAGCTTTAAAAACTTACTATCATGTTACACAGAGCACTAATGCCCGACACTGCTCAACAACAAGCTGCTGGAAATCAGGTCATTAACAGAAAACTGATCTCGGAGGATTTTGTTATCCCAAGAAAAACAGCCTAACGTGTGCCAGTGAAACAGCATTTTTGCTTCTGAGACTTTTCCACCCAAACAAACACTTTTACTTGTTAGAGGAAACAATCACAGCCTGCTGGAATTCGATAACAATCAAAATAAGTGCTGCTTTCTTTGTTTGGGAAGTAATTCCAGGGAATGTCGCTGTGTGATAAAATGGAGCTTTTTTCCCTCAGTGACAGTGAATTTTTATTTGCCTTTTATGTAAGCGCGACCTTTTGTAAAGGTTACTGTTTATCCTCTGTTCAAGCTGAAAAGCTCGTCTGAAGAGTGAGAAAAGACGATGTTTAAACACTGTTTCATTCCAGGAGCTTAAGTTTGCTTTATCCAAAAACTAGTGTTATGACCCAAGATCATGTAGGCCGTGTGTGTGTGACTCCTCCCACCAGAGGATGGCTGTGGGTTTTTCTCTTCTCTCTCTCAGGTGTGGACACTAGGGATGGGTACCGATATGTTCTGACATAAACGGTAGTAACC